GATTCTCTCGCTCTCCCTCTGCCCCCACCCCTGCTTGTGTGCACTCCCAGTCTCTCTCTCTCCCTCTCTCTCTCTCTCAAAACAAAGAAGTTAAAAAAAAATAACGAGAGTTGATAAAAGCATAGTAAAGTCTTTAAAAATTCCAGATCACTCCTATGACTCATTTCCAGGAAGGGGATGGCATTAGGGCGGGTAATGCATCCTGGCCACAGACCCCTTTGAAGCACGTGGAATATAGGCTGGACCCAAGTCTGTGGTCAGGGCTGTGGAAGTCCCACTGATCTAGAGAGAGAAAAAGTGAGGTTCTGAGCCACTTGGGCAGCTGGGACTTGAAGTGAGCCCGATGCCTGCTCACCAAGGCTGAGGTAGCAGCTGGGAAGCCACAAAACAAGCAGGGGTTTGGGCAGTTTCACGGTGGGGCTCTAGGCACTTACCCAGGAAGAGAGGCCCTTGCCAACAGGGATTCCAGGTGAGGCCCCAGAGGGCCACGTCATGGGAACACCAGCACCAGAAACAGATCAGGCCCACCTGGACCTAAATGTCTGCCTGGAGAAAATCTCCCTCTCTGGAGATACACCACCCTCCACAGCCTACCTGTTTATTCATCGACTGATTGATCCATCCATCTTTCCATCTATCTACCCACCCACCTGTCTAACCACGTATCATCCATCCACCCCATCATGCATCTGTCCATTCATCATCCATTCAACCACCTATCCATCCATCCATCCATCCATCCATCCATCCATCCATCCATCCACCTATCTAACCTAACCATCCAGCCAGTCGGCCAGTCATCTACCTACCTATCCAACCATCATCTATCCATCTACCTATCTAACCATCCATCATCTATCCATCCATCCAGCTACCTAACCTTCCATCCATCCTTCTATCCAGCTACCTAACCATCTGTCCATCCACCCTCTATCCATCCGTCCATCCATCTATCTATCATCGATCTATAATTTCTGGACACAATTCAAATATTTAATTTAAAAAGCCACCTGGGTGGCTCTGTCGGTTAAACATCCAACTTCAACTCAGGTCATGACCTCGCAGTTCGTGAGTTGAAGCCCCGCGTTGGGCTCTGTGCTGACAGCTCAGAGCCTGGAGCCTGCTTCAAATTCTGTGTCTCCCCCGCTCTCTACCACTCCCCGACTTGCATTGTCTGTCTCTCTCTCTCAAAAATAAACATCAAAAAAAAATTAAAAAAATAAAAAAACCAATCAGGCGAGCCAGGTAACAAAGAAATTTAAAACAAAGAGAAAGAGAGAGAGAACACTCACAGCTATACATATGTTGGAGTTAAAAGGCATACACGCTTTAATTAAATGGAAATTGTTTCAGAAAATGTAAGAGAATGTCACAAAAAACCTGGAGTGCATTAAGAATAATCCAGTGTCAGGGCACCTGAGTGGCTCAGTCAGTTTAAGCGTCTGACTTTGGTTCAGGTCACGAACTCCTGCGGTTTGTGAGTTCGAGCCCCACATCGGGCTCTGTGCTGACGGCTCGGAGACTGGAGCCTGTTTCGGATTCTGTGTCTCCCTCTCTCTCTGCCCCTCCCCTGCTTGTGTTCACTCACGCACGCACGCGCGCTCGCTCTCTCTCTCTCAAAATTAAATAAACATTAAAAAAAATTTAGAAAGCAATCCATGGAATCTAACCAAGATAAGTAAAAACAAAACTACACATTTTCACTTAGTAGTCAAACTTATTAAAATCAGTGACAAACGTCGAAACATAGCACCTTGTGCAATCCTGGGAAGGGGAAAACGGAGGAACCGATTTCAGTGGTTTTTACGCACTCAGTACACTTTTCTCTACAGAGAAGCCCAGCGCTAATGTATTTTTTTTTAAGTTCATTTATTTGTGAGAAAGACAAAGAGAGGGCGCCTGGGTGGCGCAGTCGGTTAAGCATCCGACTTCAACCAGGTCACGATCTCGCGGTCCGTGAGTTCGAGCCCCGCGTCGGGCTCTGGGCTGATGGCTCAGAGCCTGGAGCCTGTTTCCGATTCTGTGTCTCCCTCTCTCTCTGCCCCTCCCCCGTTCATGCTCTGTCTCTCTCTGTCCCAAAAATAAATAAACGTTGAAAAAAAAAAAATTAAAAAAAAAAAAAAGAAAGACAAAGAGAGCACAAGCAGGGGAGGGGCAGAGAGAGAGGGAGAGAGGATCCCAAGCAGGCTCCCCATTGCCAGCACAGAGCCTGACATGGGGCTTGAACGCACCAACTGTGAGGTCGTGACCTGAGCCAAAACCAAGAGTCAGACACTTACTGACAGAGTCCCCTAGGCTCCCCACTAACGCTGTACTTGTACAAACCACACTGTAAGTCCCTGAGGACTGGCACTCCTGTATCCACAGAGGCACTTGTGGGAGGGACTGCTTCTGTCTGCGGGAGCTGGAGGGCTTCCTGGAGGAAGCATGTTTGATGGGAGCCGGGAAGGATGCGGGATTCCGGTAAAATGGACACTATGGGACTGCTGTGCACCTTCTGCGGGCTTTGTGTGCATAGGGCAGGGCAACCCCACTGCCCCCTGCCGGGCCCCCACCCCTGCGCCGACGTGAGTGTCTCACACCTGCTATGAAGTAATGAACGAGGTAGGGGTGGCTCCGAAGTTAAAGGAAAAAGTCCAGGGCAGGATGTGGAAACAGCCCTGGGGGCTGGCCTGAGGACTCAGGGTAGTGGTCCTGATCACCCCAGGCCCGGCCAAGGAGCAAGCACCCAACTCTGGAGTCAGAAGACCTGCTTATCAGTAAAGGTCAACATGCCCGCATGAGGGTGGCTGGAGCCTGGTGGGTCACTCAAGGAGCCTGGCGGGTCACGCAAGAGCGTGCACAGCACCTACCCCCCGGCAGGTGACTCCGTCACCAACGGTGCTCTCGGTGGTCCTGCTGCAGCCACAGGGGCACACGCTCTAGTGTTGCCGTGCCACAGCAGCCTCAGGAATCCCACGCCACAGCCGCGTGGCGCCTGAGATAGGCACCCCCGGGACAGAGGCAGGAGGGAGATGAGATCCCGCTTTGTTCCCATCACCCCATCCCCGGTTCCGGAAAATAGCAAGCTCAGCGCTCCCCATGAAAGTGGCTTTGTTCACAACTCAGCACCAACTCTGGGCAGTGGCTGGGTTTTGTTCCCTGCCCCAGGCCACAAAGCTTAATTAACCCTCAATCTGGAGAAGGGACAGCCAAGGACCTCAGCGTGGGGACGCTGGCTTCCCGGCCACATTTGCCACAGAGCCGGGCCCTCCTGTGTGCTCAGAGACGCATGCACGCAGCTGAAGGTGGCCCCACGGGGCTGCAGGGCCCCCCACCCACCCAGCAGGAGTGGGGCCTCGAGGAGAAAGGGCACGACCTCCATCCTCAGAGGTGCAGGGCGCAGGCCCGTCCCTGTGGGACATCCAGAGAGTGTGACACAGGAAGCCCACGGGGCTGGAGAAGACACTGGAAACCTGAACCAAAAACAAGCACACCAGGTCTGGGAGTTGGCCCATAGACGCAAACCCGCCTCGTGGACCCACCACCTTCCAGGAAGCGCACGCGGGGAGGGCAGGTGGAACACGTGTGGCCGACAGTGTTCACCTTGAACCTCTGCTGTTAGCAGTTACGGTGACGTTTTGAAAGGACTGTCCCTGGGCCCGGCCGCCTATTCCAGGCCGTTGGCTTCTGCATTCTCAGTCTGGGTCCGGACGGAGGCCCAGGGGTGCAGTGAGGACGGTCGGGAGCTGGTGAGGCGTCCCGCCCGCGAGGGAGCTGCCTGGCCGGTGACACGTGAGGGCCCCGGAGGCCCCGACACGTGCCTCTTTCACGTCCCCAGCATCCTCCACGCAAAGCCACGTTTGTGTTTCTCCTGACATAGTCTCACATTTCCCCTTTCCTGCTGACACCCCAGGAGGAGGCACAATTCCATCAGTGTTTGGAAACCAGGCCCCTGGCTTCCTGGTTCCCTGGGCCAGCTGCTGTCCTGGAGCCCCTCCCTCCGGGGCTCCCAGACCTTCCAGGACCTTCCGGGCCCAGGCTCCCCTCAGCTTCCCCTTCCTGCACTTCCTTTACCCAGAACAGGGGTGACAGAGGGTCGTGGGCTTTTTTCCAAAAGGTCTATTTTTAGGCCCTGCTGGGGCCGCTGCAGGAGGTTCCGTGGGAAGCTGGATAACATCTGCTCCCCGCTGGCCGCGATTCTCAGCACAGGAAAAGTTTCCAGGAAGAAGGGGGCCCCGCATGCTCGCTGCCCACCCAGCCCGAGCCGGCCAGACCCAGGTCTATGCGTGCTGGGATGTGGCCCCCACCTTAGGCGCAGGGACCACAATGTGCTGCACAAGTTGGGGTGCAGGACATCAACACAAAGTCACGCCTCCCTGCCTTCCTGTGCGTGAAGAATCTTACAAAGCACAACAACGACTGATTCGTGCGTCAGTGACTGTTAATTACAAACTGCAGCTACACTTCCACATGGCCTTTAAGGAAACGTGAAATAAATTTAGCAGGGGGGATGTCAAGAGGATACTCACCTATCCCGGGGAAGAAAGAGGAGTTTTGCTATTTGACCACCTGACTGAGCCTCAGGCCGTGAGAAACAGGCATATTCTCGGTCACCCCTCTGGAAGCGAGTGTGAGGCTGTACATACGTATGGTCGATCCATCATCGATCGATCAATCCAGCCTCTACCATCATCCATCTGTCACCCTGCCCTCCTGCTCACACCCGGGGACTACGGAGTTAACTGTGGACCATCAGAGAGATTTCTGCATGAGTAGTATGAACACATTTTTCGTCTCCGTCCCTGTATCTCCAGGTGTGAAGGTTGGGGCTGCCAGGGCTGCCCACACCCCCTGAGGTTCTGGACCTGGGCTCTTGGCCACAAGTCACGGACCGCTGGCCGCACTCCCAGCCTCTGGCACTCCATCTGCAGAATCCCACCCGTGAACAGCAGCTCAGATGTCTTCTCGGGTCTGTTCAGCTGTAAATTTAAAGTGTTATTTTTAAAAAGCGTGACTTTGCATGGGAAGCTGGGTAGAAGTGATTTTTTTTTAAAAGGAAGTCCTTATCTTAGCACGCTTCTGTTATTTGTCTACGAACAGCAGGCCATTAAGCCGAGCTTCTGGAAAGCAAAGGAAGGACAGCCAAGCAACCAGATAGAAGGAGAATTAAGTAGGGAAAACCCCTGAAAGGCTGGAACAGCCAAGGCCTCCGTGTGTGTTTCTGGATGAAAATCAAAGCCGCGTACCCGCAGCCCCACAGAAGGAAATGGCGGATGACCTCCGCATGGATGGACACGTACTTTCTCGGTCCTGAGCTTTTCCCTTCGTGCATCTTCAGGTCAAAATCTCTGACCGTGAATGTGTTCTACGGCTAAAGTCAGCATTTTCCGTGCGTAGCCGGAATGTCCCCCCCGGGGGTGAACTGGTTCCCTCTTCTAGAAGGACCGACGTTCTCGTTCCCCCGACAGACTCAGAAGTGCCCGGCCGACGCCGGGGTCAGGGCTCCTGTCTGGGTGCAGAGAGCTGACCCCGCCGTGACGCCCTCCTCCAAGCGGGAGGTACCCCCTCCAGAAACGTCTGCAGGCCTCCCCCAGCCAGGAGAACTGAGAACCTGCGCACACAGCTCAAACAGCCCGTTGCAGTCGGGACCCTGTGTTTCCCAGCCTCTTTGAGGATGTCTCTTTTCCATTCAGAGGTTCTGATTCAAACACGCTGGCAGGAAAACACACTTCCCCCTAGTTAGCTGGGGTGGTGCCGGGAATTCTAATGTGGAAATGGGGAGAGTTTCCAAAGCATTTGCTACCCGTGCGATGCACCACGCGAGGCCAGTCTCTCAGGTGCTCACGGGGCCCCGGGGCAACCCACAAAATTGGGCTTTGGTGTGTGCGCCCAGGAGGACAAACTGCTTCCGTCCGCAGGGCTCAGCAAAGAACGGCATCGGGGCCGGGGGTCCTGGGGATACCGAGACCACCCGGAGCCTGGACGCGGGAAGCTGCACACAGAGCGGAGAAGCAGGCGGGGGTGAGGCGTCATGACCAAAACCCCAAGGCCAGAACCTTCCTCTGCGGCTCACTGACATCTCCCTTTCCAAGAAAGAACGTGGTAAAGGACACATAAACTTCACGATCTTAACCACCTGTGGTGTGCAGTTCAGCAGCACCCAGGACGCCCACGGCGTGCGCCTCAGCACTGCCATCCTCCCAAACCAAAGCTCTGTCCCTGTTAGACACTCCTCCCCACCCCTCCCCCAGCCCCGCACCCACCTTCCTCCTCCCCAGACGGGACCCCTCGCAGGACCCTACCCACGTGGAATCATCCAGTATGTGTGCTTCTGTGTCTGGCTTCTGTCCTCAAGGGTCATCCGTGTGGCAGCATGTACGAAAATGTCCTTCCTTCTTAGGGCTGATGATATTCCACTGCTGGACGGGCCACGTTTTGTTTATCCTTCATCCAAGGGTGGGTACGTGTGTGCTCAGCCCTATGGCTCCTGTGAGTAGCCCCACGTCTTTCTCCCATGTTCTGTCAGCCAGTTACGTGGTGGGGACTGGTCACTTGCAGCGGCCCCAGTGATAGGAGATCTTGAAGCTGCTGTCCACTGGGTAGGAATCAAGGCAGACTGGAATGCATATGGCAGATGGCGTCGGGCTACCCGGGGGACAGGGCGCCAGGGAGAAGGAGGCACTGGACCTCCCTCAGGGAAGCCTTCCTTGTGCAGAGGCCAGAGCCCAGAGAAAGTGCTTTCCAGGCAGAGGGGAGCCTATGCACCTGCTGGCGGGTCAGCCGAGGAGAGACAGGGAGTGTGGTCACCACAGCCTGCGTCCCGGGATTTACATGCAGATGGAGGCCAGCAGCAGACACGGACCCCACAGATGACGCCCAGGTCTGTCGGTGAAGATGCCTGTCCTCGTGACCCCCGTTTGGTTACAAGTCCCAAGTTCCCAGAACAATTCTAGCCCCACAAAGGGGCCAGGCCACAGGACAAAAATTCTTGATGTTTTCTTCCTTCGGGCACAATTCCAGCAATCGGCTTTCCGCTAGAAATGCACGTGGGTTTCATGTGAAACACTGCCACGGGACGTCTAAGGAAAGGTCACTTCAGCCCGGCAAAGACTGCTGACATATGGACCCTGAAGAGCCTTCAACCAGTATGTGGGTGGGAGCCTTCTTCCCACCATGACTGTACTGCAGAACTTCACAGTCACGTTCAAAGGGCCTGTGGCACAAGCCTGCCTCTTGCCATGACTGGAAGACCCCATTTCCCACGGAAAATCTGATGGACATACATCCAAGGCATCCTTATGGGATGCTTACGCCCCAGAACCCCTGGGCATTTGGGGACCTGCCTCTGGGACCCCAGCAGGCTAATGGGAGGTTTCTGTCCCAATTTCAGAAACCGGAAGTCTGCCATTTTCAGGAGATTATCACCGCTCAGATCCTAAAACCAGGTCCCCAGCCAGGCAGCAGTGAGTATGCAAAACCTGTAAATCACCCTGAGATCATGGGATCACAAGACCACAAACCCTGTTAGGTCAGTGCTGGAAATCTCAGCCTCAGTTAACACTGCGTGGCTCCCTGGGTTCCCGCCATTACTGAGTGTGTGAAGCTGATACGTCTTCACAACATGTGCTGAGACACAAAAAAGATATTTTTGTTAGAAAAAGCAAGTTTTCATAGAGTGTCAGCACATTACCAATAATCCCTACGTGCAGGGCCCTTTGCAGGCTTACTTGGTCCTCAAAACAACTGGCCAGGGTCTGCACTGTCACCAGCTGACCTGACGGGAAGCCACATCTTCCAGAAACTCCCGTGCCTCGTTGGCCGGAGGGGATTCCAGAACCTTCTCCTGAATTCCCATCGTCATGCTCCTCTTCCTTCTGGACCCGGACTCCCTGGGTCAGAGTCCTGGTGTCACACATGTACCCGCGATCTATTCCTCACACAATGCGATCTATTCCTCAGGTCCTGGAAGCTAAAGTTGGAGATCCAGGCGTGGCCGGGCTGGTCCCTCCCCAGGCCTCTCCTGGATGCAGGGACGGCCGTCTCCTCCCCGTGTCCTCACGTGGTCGTCCCTCTGCATGTCTGTGTCCTGATGTCCTCCGCTTACAAAGACGCCATCACACTGGACCAGGGCCGCCCTAATCATCTCCTTTCACCATAGTCACATCTGCAAATCCCTGCCCCTGAATCCAGCTGCATTCTGACATCAACATGTGAACTTCCAGGGAGGGCATGCCCACAGCACTAGGCGCACGTTTTGGGGCGACGTAGCCTCTTTGGAAATGGCAGGATAAGAATGGGGGCGCTTGCTTCAGGGTCATGGGAGGACTCCCTCGGGAGGACACGAAGGGTGCTCACTACGGCGGGCAATGAGGAACGAGAGATGGGAGGAGACCACCTGTCATCTCCCCTCGTCCTCGGGGCCCTGGATGGCGGCCCGACAAGGCTGAGGCAGACATCCAGAGGCGCAAGCAAC